GAATCATGTAGGCTCGGGTATCCAGGTGAGCGATTCAGGCTCCTGGGAGCCTTTAGTTCAAATATATGAGGATGTGGATGGGGTTAACAGAATAGATAACAATGGGTAAAATAAAATAAAGATTAGAGAATAAAAGACTGCTTAAATAAAAAAGTAGAGAATAACGGCAAAAAATAAAAAATTGATAATTGGTAAAAAATATTGATTACTGAATAAACAATATCCAGGATACAGTAATCAAGTAATCACAGAATGACCATTATGTTAAAGATAAACTAGAGAGTGTGTCTATGAGACACGGTATGCCCCGATCGTTCATCATTTTGATTTAAAAGCAGAATTTTATGTGTAAAATGTAGGTCAGAGTGACCTTATTAACAGTGAACTACATGTATTTAGTACTACCCAAGACCTGTCCATTGACAAAATATGACTAGCTTATGAGAAATGCACTAAAAAATGCCAAATTTAACCAGAGTCATTCATGTGTAAAATGTAGGTCAAAGTGACAAAATGATTAGTGAACCCAAGACCTATCCACTGACCAAGTATCAATGTTACACCATGTCTAGTATCTGAGAAACTGACCTAAACGCAAAACTTAACCAAGAACGGGACGTACGGACGTACGGACAGACGGACGGACAAGGGTAAAACTATATTCCCCTTTCACATACGTGATCGGGGCATAAAAATAATGAACGAAAAAAAAAATAAAGAATACAGAAGTTAAGAAACCCCCTTCCATACCCTCATATATCGTACATTCTATGTTAAATGTGATACTTATAAGAGATCGCCAGTATGCATCGTCTAACTAAAACATAGCCTGTTCTTACAACATATCTGCAATCTATGTACTGTGTCATCACTAAACCAATTTTCATTTTAGATTGCTAGACAGAAATACAAGAAATATACACATGAACAGTTATGCGAAGCAGTGGACCAAATAAAAAGGGGCTTCCTAACATACACCCGAGCGTCAAAACGATTCGACATCCCAAGGAAAACATTAGATGACTACCTTAAGGGGAAAAGCACAATAGGCAAAAAGAATGGACAAAAACCCTACTTAACACAATCACAGGAGATTCATCCCTTGCAAATTACGTCAAGTACATGTGTGAAAGGATTCGGACTTACGAGAAAGATTTTACAAATTTTTGCGTTTTCAATAGTCAAAAAAAAAAAACAGGCTCTTCCTCGAAATCTTCCTCGTCAAAGAAATGGTGCCAAAGGTTTATGAAAAGACATAATCTTTCTTTCAGAACCGCAACGTCTCTCGCAAGACCAAGAGTAGATGTTTCATGACAACAAGTAATTGACAATTACTTTACATTACTCAACACAACTATTGAAAAACTTGGCCTTACAGACAAACCCGCCCAAATCTGGAATGCCGACGAAGCCGGCTTTGGGAAGGAAACTGAGCCATTCAAACAAAATATTATAGCTACAACAGGAACAAAAAACCCATACAGACAACAAATGACGGATTACGACAACATTACAGTTTTAGCATGTGCATCAGCGGCTGGTACTTTTATTCCAAACATGCTGATATATACCAAATCCCTACCTTCCGGAAGTTACGCCTCTGAAATGCCTTCAAATTGGATCTTCTCTAGATCGGAAAATGATTACATAACAAGAGGTTTATTTAAAGATTGGTTTTCAAGAATATATATACCTAACATTGGTATGAGACGCCCAAACCTATTGGTTCTAGATAATCATAGTTCTCATTTATCATTGAAAGTTATAGACATGGCCATAGAGAATGACATAGAGATATTAGGTATTCCGCCGCACACATCACACTTTTTACAACCTTTAGATCAAATATTTCACCCCCTTAGAAGTACCTACAGTGATCTTGCCCTGAACATTGGTTTGGTTAAGGCAGACATGGTTATTAAGAAAAATAAGTTTGCAATAGTGTTGGAGCAGGCACAGGATAAAGCGTGGCCCCCGCATCTAGTCAAACTCGGTTTTAGAAAAACTGGATAGCACCCTTTCAACAGCAAAGCGATAGACAAGTCCTTCATCAGACCTAGTCATAACAACACTAATGAAAATGACGAGGAAGACACTTCCTGACGAACCCTGCAGACGATGTATGTAATAAATGCGGCCGTTTGGTAACAAATCCTTTGGTTAAGGCTGTACTGTTGGATAAAAATCTGCAGGATATATTGGTCCCGACAGACATTACAAAAACAGGTAAACAAAAGAATAAAAGATTAACTGGTGCTCGAATTTACACAGAGGAAGAGATGAGGAATGAACTGAAAAGAAAAGCAGATGAACAAATTGAAAAGGAGGATGGCATCAAGCGCAGAAAAGAGGAAAGGGAAGCAAAACGACTCCAAAAGGTAGAAGATGACAAGACGAAACGATTGAAATCCGCCAATAAGAAGAAAAACCTGTCTAAATCGAATCAGAGTAAAGCAAAAGATATCCAAGAAACTAAATCCAAATACAATAACGATAAACAAGATACATTCAACACAAACGAGAAACACGAAACCCAAAAAAACTTGGACGACTTCAGACTTTCCGGAAGGTAAGCAGGTCCTGCTTCTTGCAAGGCTTGTATACGTTGTCAATAAGTTAGTATATTTTATTAGATAAACTAGACCCACAAAGTCATATACATTCTACAACATTCAACACTGAAAACTACAAAACAAATGAGAAACACGGACTACCGCAAGACACCCGCTGCAGATCACTTTCAGGAACAAAAAAAAAGGACCCTACGCCTACGGCAACTGTAGAAGGTCTGTTGTCATATTGATTACAGACGCCCTTTACCGTCAATCAGGGGAGTATGTAGAATTAGTATATAAAAACGGTCACTGGTGATATTTAGCAGAAATCGTTATTCACGCAAAATTCAGTTTGTGAATACGGACATCTCGAAATAAGCACAAGGAAAATCAATCATAGGGTAAAATATCCTTTATTTTTTTTAAAGGAGTAAATGTTCTGTTATCCAAAAATAATGCCAATCAGGAATGGACTGCAGCCATTCAATCAATGACGTATATTCAGTGTTGCATATGAGACGGTATTAAATATCATATATACATTGTGAGTTATCTATTGGTAGCTTATATCTGTGGGAATATCTTTAGTTCTTCTGATCTCTTCAGTCTTGCACCCACGGATCATCTTATAATTAAAAAAAAAAAAAATTTTTGCTTGAAAATCACGCATGCGCAGTCATTTAATTTAGCAAACTCTTTTTCGTTTTTTTTTAATATAATAAATAATTTTTAATATGATTTAATCTAAAAAACTGAATAGTACAACTTTTTGTTCCGTTTTCCAGAGATGCAAACAGTTTTTTTTTCTGTCAGGGCCTACAGGGTAGCAAGTTTTGTCAGACCCATCAAATTTTTGCCAGACCTACATTTTTTTTATATCAGCTTTTTATACAGTAAGAGAACGGAGATAGGATGTCTTTACAGCGACAGCTGCTTTAGTGGATTATTTTTAGAAAATATCTAAAATTCAGTTGAGTTCTTTTATTTAATAATTACTACAATATTTAAAAATTTTTTTATTGTGTACCACTGAACATCAGGCTAGGGCCATTCTCCATCTTTTTTGACAGTGCTCTAGGATTTTTAATTGATTACAACTTTTTCAGGAAAGTGAGGACTGAAAAGTCAATTCAGTTTTAAATTTCCCTCTTTAAAGTTCCCAGTTACAACTCTCATCACAGGGATACATGTACTTACAAAAATCAATCAGATTGATATAGGCTGTGTGCAGCTTGTTTCCAGATCTTACTTTTTGTTATCCTTGTATATTTTGATATATTTGTAAATTGCATGAATAAATATGTTTAAACTTCAAAAAGCAACATTTGAAAATTTTATAATTTTTTTACCATTATGTTGATACACAAAATTTTGTTTTAATGGAAGACTATTTTTCATACAATAAATGTCACATTTTAAGTGTTCAGATACATTAACTTTTATTTTGGTGGATAATTACTCATCAATTGAGGTGCTCCATTATTGGAAGAAGATTCGCAATACAGTTACAGTTACAGAAAAAATGAAAACTGCCGTTTTCTCCCCAATCTCATGTATCCCCATTGTTTACCGCGAAAGTTGACCTACAAAGCATTGATGTTTGAATCATCTAAAGTAAACATACTTACTAACTTTAATAAATAAATTTTCAACAAGGCAAATTTCAATTCCCTACTAATAGGTTAGCACCAAAAATGCTAAATCTTACTAAAATCCTAGAGAACTGCCTGCCGGTCATTAGGTCTTGCACAAAAGCCCAATTTGCCGGACCTGCTCAATTTCTGCCCAATCGGGCCGACAGGTCCGACGATTAGTTGCATCTCTGGTTTTCTGTACTTGGTTGGTAATTTGTTAGTAATCAAAGACAACGGCGAAAATGTGTCCCCAGTGGTGTGTGAAATACTTGATTTCGACCGACTTTGGGCTCTTCTGTAGACCGAAAAAAATAATAAACGAATGATTTTTATGATTCAGTTCTGTTTATCGAATAGTTAACTACATGCAAGTAACATAAAAAGATACTGTCTTTATAAAAATTCGTTGTCTATGGGTAAAAATGGCCGGTTTTTGCTGCGAATATCGAAAGACTTTTTCAACAAGATCGCCAAGGCAACTGACGGAAAATTCCTTACATTAAATGACTTTACTAACATTTTTGATCTTATGATGGCTATATGTTACAGAGTACACGATGAAACTCTATACTATTGCAGGTAATAGTAATGTTATTTTTACAGTGGTAAATAAATAATAAAACAAATGTTTTATGCAATCAACAAAAGTTGGAGAAATCATATTTTATGAAACGTTTCATTAGCAAAGCACATGGATGAATTGCTAAAAACAAAAACACTATACACATAGTAATTCTACATTTCTAGACATAAACCCATAATGTTATACTAATACTTCACTATAGTTTAACATGTTTTATCTTTAATCCAGAATTATGAAACAGAAGTAAGAGCCAGAGGTACAACAGTTCACAAAGATTTAGAAGCATTATTTGGCAATCTACGACATACCGAAACAGAAGACATGGAAACAACCCCATCAACACCAGCTCCCTTTGTAAAAATACCATCACTGACAAAACCATCATCAGTTAAAATACTGAAAACAAGTACTAATCCAACAGTAAAACCAAGCAGCAGTTCAAGAACAACACGGTTTAGATCTAAACACGAACGAATGATGAATAGAAGGAACGAGGAACGCCTCGAAAAGTACAAGGTACATATATATACATTTTGAACATTTTAAAATTGTTTAAGAAATTAGTAAAAGGATATGTAGATTATACATCTATTAGACAGAAACACAACGACACACACAAACCAAATGACTTCAAGCAGATAGAGTTCAAAATTATTGTCTTCGTTTTAATTATAGGCTTCCTTTTTTGTACTTATCTTCTTTTTCTTGTTTTTTTTTGTTCTCTTCTGGTTTTTTACCTTTCGTTCATATCATTTGTTGCATATATTTAAAGAATACCATCCCATGGACGTTCAAACAAATTAGTCATTATATAATTTAACACAATGTTTCCTTTCTTTTTCTTTTTCAGCTAAAAAATCTGCCGAAACTGAAAAGAGAAAACGTTACAGAGACAAATTTTATGCTCAATGATGCCCCATGGTCAAGATGGCAATTAGCAATCACCCCCGAATTTCCAGAAGGAGCAGACTCTCATTTATGGAAAAAACGTAGAGCGACTTGACAGGATATCGTAAAACAGAAATATGTAATGGACAATATCAGAAACCAGCACTGTATGAATTCGCAGTTCAAACGCATGAACATTGTAAACGATATGTTGTATACTGTAAGTGTAACAAGGGGTTCACTTTGGATAAAGGATCATGGGAATCTAGACTATTACATAAAACAGACGTTAAAAATGAGGTAGAGGATGTTTTAAAGAAAGGTTGTCGTATATTTGTTAGACATTTTCCATTGAGAAAAACATCTGCGACAACTAACAAGATGGCCGATCTTGGGCACTATGACTACGCATGGAGATGCCAAAGAAGAGAGAGAGTATCCCCACGTCATAAATATATTCGTCATTTGCTTAACCATGTTAACAACTCATGTCACCAAACCAATAATTTCTTGAACTTCTAAAATTTGGAAAAATAACTTATAATAGTTAAACATTGTACTGCCTTTTTATCTAAAAGGATAGAAAAAATACCAAGGGGATCATGGTCAAGAAACATAAATCGAAAAAGAACACCTAACACTATAAAGAAAACTAAAGATTGCGGAGCCGTACCCCACCAAATACCGCGTGTGAACTCAGTAATGTTATGTGCCTGGTCCCTGGTGGATAGTTGTTTCATTGGCAAGCATACCACATCTTCTTATTTTTATATAAGGTTTTCTGGAAGGGTCAGCAGATCCTACTCCACTTGTTACACCAACCATGTAACTAATGTTAATATATGTTAAGTCATTCAGATTTTCTCTTACAAACACTCAAAGACATTACCAAATTCATACACCATCAGTAGATGTACATTCTCTAGCCTAGATACTTGATCGAATAAGTAATTTAAAAAGACAAGACTTTAGTTGTCAGAAACAATATACATATTTGAAAACACGAAATGCAACACTTACAATTAAAAAAAAACTAGTTGACAGAAACAATATATATATTTGAAAACACGAAATGCAACACTTACAATTAAAAAAAACAAAGGGTTTTAATTCAGGTGCTCCGGAAGGGTGCTATTTTCTTAAATTGTCAATTTTATGCATGATTTCAGTCTTTCTCAAAGTTGAGTTGGTGTTGTTCAATTCAAATACCACACATAAGGTAACAACACGATATCCTTTTCTTTTATAATCTGTAAATCTGTTTTGTCTAATGAATAATGTCACCTATGCAAAGTTTTCTTGAACTTTTAGAATTTGGAAAAAATAAACTTATATTAGTTTTAAACATTGTACTGTGTCATGGTTTAAAAGGAAGCGTCATTGTCTAAATGGAAGGAGAAGATACCAAAGGGCTAATCAAGAATCATAAAAGACAAAGGACGAAAATACACACAACAGTCCACAAAACACTATGTAGAAACTAAGCATTGAACAACACGTACCCCCTTTAACACCGATGGTGAACTCAGGTGCTTCAAAAAGGGTCATCAGTTCCCGATCCACTAGTGACGCTACTGTTAAAATACGTTGACAAGTCAAATCAGATGATAACACATCATACAAAAGTGGATTGGTAAATATACATGCCTTATATCACAAAACACATAGATTTCTCTACAACCGTGACAGAGATTTACAAATGGGGAGTGAACCAAGGAAAGTGATAAGGGTAAAATACAGGATCTTGTGAAATTGTATTGCAAAAAGTGCAATTGTTGTCTTGGAAGCCGATATTAAAGCTAGCACTGGTGATGATTGGTGATACTGATCCACACGAACCAGTTAAAATGATGATGGGAATAATATTCAACATCTATTGGAGGGATGAGACAAACAACTTTAATGATGGTAATTAATAAACGACGGGTGTTTCTAGTGGAACAGGATCTTCGTACTCTTTCCGGAGCATCTGCGATCAACCCCAGTTTATGGTGGGTTTTGTGTTGCTTAATCTTAAGTGTCCTATGAAGGGCTTTGTGAACTTGTTTGTCTATTCGTCGTCATTCGTTTTTTGCCATGGGGTTGTCAGTTTCTATCGACATATGAGTTTTGAATGTCCCCTTGGTATACTCCGCCTTTTTTGGGGTACTCATTTGATCATTGCATCAACCCCTGACTTAATAATTTACCAGTAAAGCATAGGTTACGTTCATTGAAGTCCACAACGTCACTACAGACACGGGCATAGCGAACGAGTTGTGATATATAAACACCATAAGAGGGTGCCAAAGGAACATCATCGTCCAAAAAAAGGAAAATTAACAATAGGGAACGAAAAATCGTCCCTGTTGTCGTAATTTTGTGTGTAGAGTTTCCTGTGTAAATCTGAATTATTTCAATCTAGAAAAGGACAATTATGATCATGTATATTTGATTTATATAGAGTAAGTCCATTGAGGTAAATATATCACCAAGATAACGGTAAGTGTTGTTGAATTTATCAATTAAATGGAATTTAGACGGGTCTTTACTGAGTTTGGGCAAAAACTGTGACTCATAACAGTACAAGAACAAATCTGCTATTAAAGGGGCGCAATTGGTGCCCATATGAATACCTACAACCTGTCGATAAACTTTATTCCCGAAACGTACATAAATGTTGTCAAGGAGAAAATTAACAGCTTCAATCATCTCATCACATCTCCAGTTCGTATATCTAGCATATTTACCTTTCTCATTAGAGAAAAAGGCTTTAAGTGAATTGAAGCAAAATATATTGGTAATCAAATTTTTCAAACGACCATTTAATTAAATAGGAGAACTTTTGTTGGATAAGATTGTGTGGAAGTGTAGTGTAAAGAGTGAAAAGTTAAAACTGTCTACAGAATCAAGAGGACAACCAAAAGCACTTAATTTATCTAAAATATCCAAAGAATGTTTTACACTCCAAGTATAGTTAATTCCACTATTCTCATATGTTTTATGACAAAAGTTAATGAAAAGTTCTTTGATAGTAGTTAAGGAACTAGTTAAAAGTACTGAAAGATTAGTTGTAGAACACTTACTAGAGGCCGAGATGAAACGATATTTTACAGGTTTTTTGTGTAGTTTAGGTAACCAATACATAGTAGGGACCTTCAAATGTTCAGAAGAGGCCTTAAGTTGTGATGTGGTTATGATATGATTGTTTACTATATAACTCTCAGTGGAGCGCACGGACCTGAATGTAGAAGAATTGATAATTTCATTCTCAAGAATTTCCGTGTAGTATTTACGTCATACCATCACCACATTGTTGGCTGCTTTGTCGGCTGGTACAAACACAAACCGCTTTGCGAGTACTTGAAGTTTGTTTCTTTTACTAGAAATAGGCGTATTATGTACTCTTTTATTTATTTTTCAAAATGTGATTTTCGAATATCAACAACATTCATACATTTATTTGATTAAGAATCGAGATTTTTTATCAGATTTTTCCCGTTTACACCAAATTTTACAATACGATAAAAGAGCGTCTTTTATTACCCGACGAAACTGTTCCAATCCATCTTAGATGGAGAACGATGTTTTGGTCCTTTTAACTTTTTTGTATACCTCTCAGTCTTGAACGATTAATAACATGGCCATAGGGATCATACTTAAAATTCGACAATTGACAGTCTCGTGTTTGGGCAGTATTATTTTCTACACTGACGTCTGATGTTACTGACGTATAATTTAAAAAAAAAACTTCTGCTGGTTTTTGAATGTATATGAAATAATAGGTGGTTCTGTGTAATCAAAATAGGAAGGTACAAAGTTTTGAATGGTAGAGTCATTAAATATACTAGATAAGTTGATAAAATCAGTATTTCTGTTAATATATCTAATTTTCAGAAAATGCCTTTTATGATCTTCAGGTTTATCGATACGCATGAACAGCCTATTGTCTCATTGGCAATCATACCACAGCTTCTCATTCTTATATGGTCATAACAAGCTGTAATTATACGCCTTCATTCATAGATTGTCTGAAAAACGAGATTGTGTCACACTTCTTGAAAATATCATGTAATTTATTAATTATATTTGACCCAGTTGACATAATAATTGTTGCCTACCATTGTTTTTAAATATAGATAGAAGATCGTTGTGTATGATTTATACGATGTTTAATTCGTTGATTTCGATTGATACGTTTGCCATGAGACCTATTATATTACCCTATATAAAAGAGATATGACCCGGAATGCGAGCTAGAGGACAATGCATTTAGATTTTGAAGCTTTATTTAGGAACTTATTTCAAATTGCTGGCCAAAATCATGGGAACTACGTTCCCATTCGCAAAAATACCATCGCTGACTAAACCATCCTCAGGTAAAATGTTGACAACAAGTCTGAGGCCAATGGTTATATCGAACAGAAAACCACGTACAACATGGTTTAAATCTAACCATAAACCATTGTTGAATAGACGAAGTGAGAAACGTTTACGTTTGATAATTCAGACATTTGGAAACTATTTAGCACAACTTCCATATGGACATTCAATTAATTAGAAAACAAAAAAGGCACGTAAACTTCTTTGTTTGCTTCCTACGGTGTTTTTATCCTTCAACAGGAATTTCGGTACCACACATTACTCGGCAAAATCTTCACAATTCTTTCTTAAATACAAAGACGTTTTGAAGTTAGGATGTACCTGTAGAAATGTTATTACAAACGGGATCACATTCTAAATGTCACGGCAATGTTGTAACAAACGGGATATCACATCCTATATGTAACGGGAATGTTGTTACAAACAGGATATCACATCCTAAATGTTACGGCAATATTATTACAAACGGGATATCACATCCTAAATGTAACGGCAATGTTATTACAAACGGGATATATCATCCTAAATGTAACGGCAATGTTATATCAAACGGGATATATCATCCTAAATGTAACGGCAATGTTATTACAAACGGGATATATCATCCTAAATGTAACGGCAATGTTATAACAAACGGGATATCACATCCTAAATGTAACGGCAATGTTGTTACAAACGGGATATCGCATCCTAAATATAACGGCAGTATTGTTACATACGAGATATCACATCATACATGTAACGGCAATGTTG